AAAAAAAAAGAAACAAAGAGAAAACCTTCGATTCAATTAACAAAAGGGAGAATTCATTCCAATTCCAATTCAATTAGTGTTCTATAATCGGTTCTCTAATCTATTGTAAACATCGTCCAACGTTGTTTTTTTCTTCTTTTTTTTTATTTTTTCTCTCTCTACGAAAAGTTTCTTTTTTTTTTCTTTTTGTATATACGCGTACTGTTCCATCACTTTGGGATACGATTCTAAACGATTTAATCATTGGTCGGATTTAATTGGGTGAGGGGGGTGTGGGGGAACAAAAAACTTATTAAATAAATTTTCTCTCTGAATTATCGTTTTGTTTATTTTTTATTTGTATTTTTTATTTATAGTAGCGTTAAACTTTTTTCGGTGATACTCGTATTGTGGATCAGTAATAAGGAAATAATTTTTTTATGGATGATGATAATAATAATAATAATAATTTATCGATCGTACGCGTGTATCGTGCATTTTTCATTTTATTGTTTTTTTTTTTCTTCTTTTTTTTTCTTTCCTTTTCTCTTTCGTTTTTTATTCGTGCTGCGTCGTCCCATTTATGATTTATCGTCCCTTGAATTTTTTTTTTTTCGCTTTTGTTTTATTAATAACGCAACGAAAAGAATTCTCGAGACTGATTACGATTTAATCTTTCAAACGTTTCTCATCGTTACTTTTTGCTAACTTCTAATGTCTTCCTTTTATTAACGATTCTTTTTCTATTTTTTTTTTTCTTTTAACAGTTTCTTTGTTTTTCTTTTTTTCAGAGAGAGAATTTTCATCAAAAGAAAAACACGAGAACGATATTTATTAGACATTGTTTAAAACTTTTAAAGAATAAACAAAAAAGAAACTTCTCGAAATATTTACAATTGATATTAATTTTTTTCCTTTAAAAAAAATAATTCCTCGCGTTAAATTAAAACCCAGAAAAATAATATTTTATTATAACCTTCTGCTTCCTCGAAATATGTGATATTTTTGCCAATTAAAAAAGCACCCATCTTGTATTTTTATTATTATAGACAAACATCGAAATATTATCTCATTATTATTATTATTATTATTATAATTAAAACATTTTCAAAGTAAATATAAACAATATACAAATCTCTCGTGGACATACGAAATTTTTCTATATAAAAAAATTTGTAATACATTTTGCAGAGATTCTAAAAGAAAAAAAAAAAAAAAAACAAGAAAGTAATAAAACCATAAAATCCCCTTAGTAACCGAGGATTTATCTCAACGTTATTGTGTGTTGGGAACATGTTTAAAAGCTCACAAAATATTCTCTTAACCTAACTAATCACAATATATACACATATATATATACATATATATATATATAATACTTAAAAATACTTACATCTCCACAGAATTTTGTTCACAAAATAAAATAAATGTGTATGACGACCGTGTGTAAAAGTAAACCAAACACAAAACAAACAACAACAACAACAAAAAGAATAAAATACAGCTTTGAAGGATAAAACCGTGGGGTTGTAGGTAATGTGGGTGGGTGGAAGAGGGTGGGCGTGAAGGAAATAGCTAGAAAATAAGAATAGAAAAAAAGAATAAAAATTGAAAAGGAATAGAAAAGAAAAGAAATGAAATTAAAGAAGTAGGGGGTTGGCAAGCATGCTTCACGTTCACGCTCATGCGACTATAACGTGGCATTGAATAAAGAAAGAATCTGTAAAAGCCTTGGGGGTATGTTTCGCGTTGGTTGGTTGAACAAAACGCATGCTAGCTAGCTAGCTAGCTAGTTCCAACTAGACAGTTCCATTATAACAAAGGAAAGAACGAATAAGGAAAAGAGAGTACCTACCCTCGTATTTCTTTCCTTTTTATCATTCCGTCTCACTATTTTTTTCTTTACCTTTTTTTTTTTCTTTACTTTATTCTCTTCTTCTTTTTTTTTTTTTTTCTCTCTCTTTACTTTTCTTCCTTTACTCGTTGTCGTTGGTACAACCGGAAATAACCGGGTGGGTTAGCCATTTTCCGATCAGAAAACCTAACCGAACTCACCACCATCACCACCATATCCTTCTTTCTTTTTTTAACGTACGAAGTGTTCGAGAATATGTGTAATAGGTAGGAATGGAAACGAAAATATTTGCAATTAAATGAAAACACAATAAAATATCTGGCGTTACAACCGTTGAGGCTTAGAAAAAAAAAAAGAAACAAAAGGAAAGTTATTTGTTGAAAGAAAGTAGGTAAAATTGGGTATGGGGAAAATAATAGTAGGGAAGATTTCTTTCGTTTAATTGATTTATGATCGTGAGTATTATTTATGTGGTCGCTTGGGAATGAAGTTTCATTTTGTTGAAAAGTATACCTGAATCCTATAAATAAATAATATACTGTCGCGTTACATTAACCATAGTAACTGATATGAAATTCTATAATGATAATATCTAATTTGATATTATTCTTTATTATTATTATTATTATTCCCGTTTATTTCTTTTTATGCAATCGTTTTAACACCAACAATCCTTATAGAAAAAAAATATATTTATTATGT